ATATTGTACTTAATTTGTGATGCTGTACTCGATCAAAGGCCTTTTCATAGTCAATAAATACAGCAAAGACGTCTTTCCTTTGATCTCGACATTTCTGCAGTAATACATTTAGTGCAAAGAGGGCGTCCCGAGTTCCAAGTCCATTTCTGAAGCCAAATTGTGTTTCATCCTGATCTTCTTCACATGGAAATGACTGCTGAAAACAATTTGCTGTATCCCACATGGATAGCGCTAAACAGACTAAAAACTGGCGGTTCACGTTGTGCTAGTAACCTAAAAGAATTGGGATACCAGGAGAACGATACCTGCGACTATACCATGATTCAGAATAATCATTATCTATTATCATGCACAGAAATGAGAGAGACCTGCACAGAAGAAGACCTATTCTTAGCGAATGACAGGGCTATCTATGTGGCCAACCATTGAAAACATAAAATTTAAAGCTGTTGGTCTTGTTGAAGCCTTTTATTCGATTAAGACTAGTTGCTTCAGGTTTTAGCACTGAAATGGATGAATTTCTTTAAAAAAAAAATTCTAGCCAATCTTTACCAGCTCTCTTTTTTTGGTTAAATTTGTGGTAAATATTTAGTATTTCTGTAAATTCAAACACAGCTCTTCTGCACTGTAGAGGTGTCAATCCGTAGTACATATTTCCCAAAGCCTTTAAGTGTTTCACTATGCTGGCTTCTTGGTCAGAGGTGAAGACAGCTTTTCTTCCTAGACATGAACCACACGTTAAAGACTTTTTAAGTATATCTTCAAGGGTAGTGAAGGGAATAGCATGATCCGTAAAAGCTATTCTAATAGATTTTCCATTTTGTACCGCTTAAATTTTTGTTCTGGCGTCTAAAATATAAAGGACAATATTAAAATAGCCATACAAAATTTGATATGATAAAAAATACAAGATAAAATATTTAAAAATCATGAATTAATGGCAGTTACTCGCTGTCAGCTATATTTGCATTAGATTACTTTAGAAAGATATATATTTTTTTTAACTGTCAATGTAAATTTGCATAAGGTATTAAACCTTACCTTTAATGTACCGAAAGCTGCAATTAAAACACTGTTCACAACTATATGATTGCTTGTTTATGTGCGGGTTAAAATTACAGCGAACAGACAGTAAACATCGATTTGCCTACTATGAAAACAGTAGCCAACTGGTATGTGATTATTTGCATGCAAGATACTTGGACAACCGGCCATAATGTGGAGATCCGTCTCTGGGAGCAAAATTCAAATAAATAAAATAAATATTTCAGTGACTACCATTAAGCACTGACCGGCATTTCCCCGTTCTCCACTATTTTTACAATAAGGTGTTTTTTCGGATTTTAGTTAACTATTAACCGCACCGTCGGCAGATCTCTAGTCCGCCGTAGGGATGGCGGTTTTTGAAAAAACACGGGTTTTCAGTTATACCGATTTTTTGCTTATGGTTTAACCGGGCGGTTTTAACCGACCAAAAAAAAACCGGTTTTCGGTTTTTTTAATCGAATAGGTTACAAAGATACATTTATAATCCACTTTAGTTTGCTATTACTTGAGAATAATAATTCTGATTAGGATACAAAATAATATCTAACCTAATCCTAATCACTGTAAAAACCTAATAACCGGTTTTTAATTTAAAAATAAAAAACCGTTATCGGTTATCGGTTTTTTTAATCGAATAATTTACAAAGTTTTTTTACAATGCACTATAATATTACTTGAGAATAATAATTATGATTGAGATCCAAAATAATACCTAACCTAATCCTAATTACCGTAAAAACCTAATAATCAGTTTTTAATTTAAAATTAAAAACCGGTTTTAGCCTGGACAAAAAACAACCGATAAAACCGGTTATTGCGAAGTAAAAAAACCGGTTTACGGTTAAAACCAATAAGTTTCTCCATCCCTAGTCCACAGGAACCCTACCATCCTATTCAAAGTTATAACTTTTTAATTTATCGTGCCGTAAAAGAAAATTTGGAACTAAAACAAGAAAATATAGAGATCAAGGAGGAACTCCTTGAAATAACAAAAAACATGGAAGTTATGGAAAAACACCGACAAATAAATAACATAGTTATGAACGGCCTAAGAATAGACACATATGAGCAAGCAGAGTTAAAAGGAACAATAAATAATTTCATCAAACAACATATAGGGGTAGAGGTTAAAATAAGAAATGCTCACAAGTTAGGCGAATAAACATGCCTAATTGGATTAGAAAACCAAGAAGAAAAAAGAAAAATAATGGAAAAAAAGCACAAGTTAAAAGAAATTAAAGAGTACAAAATATAGATCAACGAAGATGCAACCATAAAAGAACGAGAAATACAGAAAACAATTAGAAACATTACTCCAGAAGAAAGAAATAAAGGAAATGAAGTAAAAATTGGAGTAAAAAAAATATGGGTGAATAACAGCGAACGGAGATGGAATGACAAAGAAGGCCCAATGTGTAAAAAAACATAAAAAAACTAGCAACTAAATGTACTATTGGAATAACGTTGACGAAACAAGCACATAACAAGGTTAAGGAAAATACAAAAAAAGGAAAAAAGAGTACAAAAATGAAAACCAAACCAAAACACAAGAAAACATTACGAAAAGAGCACCTACTTTTAGGAACATGGAATGTAAGAGGCACATATGGAGAAAGCAAACTTAAACATTTAGCGAGAGAAATCGAAAAGTTCCATTTTGATATAGTAGCTTTACAGGAGACGAAACAGCTGGGAAATGATAATATTAGAAATAGAGGATACAATGTTTTTCAACGGTGGAAAGAATTGAACGTTAGGCACAGTTTTTATGATAAGAAATGAGCTAAAAGAAGCAATAGTAGAGTTTAAACCAGTAGCAGACCGCATATGTAGTATCAGGTTCAAGGGAAAATACCAAAAAATCACCCTCATAAATATTCACGCACCTTCAAAAGAAAAAGATAATGATGTCAAAGAATGTTTCTACAGTGAATTAAACAGAACAATCGAAAGTATACTCAGATATGATATAAAAATTATTCTAGGCGACGCAAATGCCAAAATAGGGAAGGAAGAAGTATTTAGACCGACAATAGGAAAATATAGTAAACACAATGAAACTAATGAGAACGGACAATTCCTGATAGATTTCGCAAAAGAAAAAAATATGATCATAATGAGCACATATTTCAAAAGAAAAGAAATACACAAGGAAACATGGATATCGCCAGATAGAAAGACTAAAAAACAAATAGACCACGTGCTTATCGAAAAAGAGGAACAGCAATGTATAAAGAAGATAAGAACATATAGAGGACCAGACGCTGACTCAGATCATTACATGGTGGGTATTAAAATTAAGCAACTGATACCAGAAAACAAAAACAAAATAAAAAAAGAAATGTATACATAACCCAATTTGATTAGCAAACAAAGAAAAAGCAAGAAATATACGAGGAAACAATGGAAAGAGAACTAAAAAAGATACAAATAGAAAAGCAAACTGAGAACAAATGGGAAAACATAAAGCAAATAATGAACAAAGCAGCAAAAGAATGTAATAAACAAGAGAATAAAAAGTTGAAAGACTGGTTCGACAGAGTGCCAAAAAGAAATAGAACTAAGGAAATCATTAAGAATGGAAATGATCACGAAAGAAACAATAGAGACAAAGAATAGATATAGGGAGCAAAGAAAAAAATTTAAGAGCGTGCTGAAAGAAAAGAAGAGAAAACGCATAGAAAATAAGCTAAAAGAAATAGAAGAGAATTACAGAAAAAAAAAAATAAAAAACCTATATCAAGGTACTAGAAATAAAAAAAGGTTTCCAACAAAAACCCATATTCGTTAAAAACAAAGCAGGAAATAATATAAGCGGGGAAGCAGAAATAGTCCAAAGATGGAAAGAGTATTTTGATGAATTACTAAATGGCAATAATAAGTCAAACCAAAGAGAACATATAGAAGCAGAAGCAAGAATCGAACACATAGACGACCTAAAAGATAATTCACCCAGCAAAAAACAAATAACATAACATTAAAGAAGAAATACAAGCTAGAATAATGGCAGGCAATAGAAGTGTACATGCTCTTAGTGGAATGTTGAAAAGCAAGTTTTATCAAGAAAGGCAAAAATACAGTTATACAAAACAACTATACAACCAATAGCAACATACTGCAGTGAGACGTGGACAATGACAAAAAATGAACAAAATCTACTAGAGATATGGGAAAGTCAACCTAACATAATAGGAGTCATAAAGGCACAGAGACTAAGATGGCGAGGTCACCTAGAAAGAATGCCGAACACGAGGACTCCAAAAAGGGTACTAAACTACACTATAACTTCAAAAAAGAAAAAGGAAGACCAAAAAATAGATGGAATCAGGAGGTAAAAAAAGATATGGAAGAAATTGGACTAGACGGCCAGAAAAGAAAAATGAATAACAAAAAGGAATGGAGAAAAGTCACATATCGAGCCAGAGAAGATCTCAGTACATAAAGGAAAGCGAAAATGAAGAAAGAACAAAATTTTTTAAGCCATGGGCATCTAAGGCCTTTAGTGCTATTGTATATATATATAATATTATATTAAAGGACAGTTTAGCAGTACCTCTTGTGTTAAATTAGGTGTATGAATCGAAATTCATTGTTTATTAATCGATTTAACAAATAAAACCTACTCTCCCCTATTATTTACCTTGTATTATTATTGAGATGAATAAAAGCATCATCACAGGTTTTGCTCTTACGTAAATTTTCCGTTTATTTCATTACATACAGGAAGCTGGTAATTTAGTATATTTACATTTTGATTTCTATTTATTTAGTTACTTGATTGTCTGTCCAAAGGTTTACATAAAGAGCAATCTTTAATATTTGGTATATACAAATAATAAATTACTTTGTATAAATTAAAAAAATATTACGCAATTTTTTTTAGATGTGATTAGCATTTTAATAGATAAAATTTATCTCAGTATAAGTAGATAAAGGCGAGACTATAAAGTTTTAATGTTTAGAGAATATTTAATAAAACTGTGCAAGTTAAAGTTACTACAGACTTATTTCCTGCTAGTTAGTGTTTCTAGATAATACAAAATGTCGTATATACTGACAGAGGAAGTAAAGAACTGGATTCAACAATCCGTTGGTACCGAAAACTGTACTATCACCATAGAAAATACGACCCAGAAAGGAGAAGGTTACGCTGGAGAATTTATTTTTGCCAAAGTTGAACTTCAGACGAATGAAGGTAGAGTTTCACAAGATAAACCTATATTTATAGCTTTAAAACGCAACAATCAGAATCCAGCGGTTCGAAAACAAATTCCAGTAATGCACGAATTATGTAGAAGGGAAGTATACTTATACAGTGCCATCATTCCAGCATATCAAACGTTTTATAAAAACAAAACGCTACGAGATGATCTTTATTTGCTTCCAAAGTGCCACAAAACATTTTTGGAGGGCGAAAATAACGTAGTTGTTTTAGAGAATCTTAAAAGAAAAGGTTACGTGCTGCAGCAAAGAGAGAAACCAATGAACTCCGTTCAAATCAAACTGTGTTTAAAATCTTACGCCAAATTACACGGTTTGGGTTTTGCAATGAGAGATCAAACTCCAGAAGAATTTAAAATGATTTCTAGAGACTTACATCCTCTAATGCAAGAAGCATTTAGTAATTTTAAACCAGTCTTGGATAGTAAATCAATTGCTGTAGTGGATACATTACAAAAAGCTGGAAGAGAAGACTTATCGGTTAGATTTGAAAAGTTTTATGAAGAAAAGAGTCTGCACAATCGTGTTCTTGAAGCCGCCGAAGCAACTATAGATCAGAAAGTAATTATACATGGTGATTGTCATAATGCTAATATGCTGTTTCTGTTTAAGGTAAATATTCATATGTTTATTGTTTATTGATATAGTATTCCTACTAGGATCTAAACTCAACTTGTTACCTATATTTAAAGTATGTTCTTCCCAAGGTGCCATTATATTTTTTTAATTGAATCGGAAAATATTCCTTAATAGGCGAGAAAACAAAGCACTAAACTAACAATTTTCCGCAGCAAGATGAATCACTGTGAATTTTTTTGTATTCGATTTCGAAAAGTGTCAGGAAAGTTAGTAAACAAAAATTCATGGTGGTAAAAGGCACAGAAAATGAAAAATTTGCAACTCAAAAACTTATTTGAAAAAAAGATTGATTTTTCACTTTGAGAACGCCTATCAATAACTGTTCTGATGAGACCTATACTATATACTAAACTCAACTTGTTACCTATATTTAAAGTATGTTCTTCCCAGGGTGCCAATATATTTTTTTAATCGAATCGGAAAACATTCCTTAATAGGCGAGAAAACAAAGCACTAAACTAAAAATTTTCCACAGCAAGATGAATCACTGTGAATTTTTTTGTATTCGATTTCGAAAAGTGTCTGGGGAAAGTTAGTGAACAAAAATTCATGGTGGTAAAAGGCATAGAAAATGAAAAATTTGCAACTCCAAAACTGTCGACAGGAATGAGTTTAATTTTGCTACTCGGGAGTTTTCGAGGTCACTGAACACAAATATGATAACGACGATGGTCATCAAGCTCCCGGTGAGAAAAGTGGACCACGTCTCCTGGAGTTTTATGTGATTTTATCTTAAATTTAGTCGAAGGTCATTGCTTTTAACGTTTTCGAAGTTGCTAAACACAAATATTATGACAGCGATGTTCCTTGAGCTACCTAGTACCCAGGGTGAACCTCGTCTTCTAAAGTCTTATGTAATTTTTATTCAAAATTAGTCAAAAGTCATTACTCGGGGAGTTTTGGGGTTGATAATCACAAACGTTACGACTAAAATAATCTCCAAAATATCTGGTGTTTAGAGTGAACCTCTACTCCTAAAGTTATTTGTTAATTTGTAATTTACGATTTTCAATGACATAAAACTTCATAAGATGAAGTTACTCCAGGTACCAGATACCTTTGTAACATACGCCGCAGCAATATTTGTATTTAACTCTAAAAGCCCACGAGTAATGGGAGTAACTTTTGACTAATTACAAATGAAAATGACATAAAACTCCAGAATAATAGGTTCACCCTCCACTAAATGGCTCATAGGTATAACTATTCAGCGACGTCTAAAACCTTCAATGATTGTACACTTGAAAAGGAGATGAGGTCCATCCTGAGCACCAAGTAGCTCAAAGACCATCGTCGTTTTATTATTCGTATTCAAGGACATCGAAAACCCCCGGAGCAACATCGGATCGATTTCACTCCTGTGGATATTTTCTTGAGTTGCAATTTTTTCATTTTTTCCTTTGGAAATGCATTTTCCTTATTTGCCCCGTGCAGCTGAACAGGTGTCCTCTATAGGGTGTCATATCGTCACCATAAGATTTACACCATTGAAACCATTTATAGATCTGCAGTAATAAAATTAAAAATGTGTAAATAATCGTAATTATTGTCTGTATGTTTATTATTTAAATACAAATAACGTTATCGTAGTAATTATGCAATACAAATAGATTTGTTGAAATTTGGATAATATTTTTACAAACACAACAGGTTAAATTTTTAGATTTTTTAGATATGAATAGCTTATTATTAAAATAGTTTTTGAACACAATATAGTAACAATTTATATATTTTATAGGGTACAAGCACCACTTATTGGCCTCTTAAGAAGAGCACGTCAATATATCTATGGAATGTTTTGTCACCGTGGCCTATTATAACTATTTTTAACACCATGAAATTTTATTATTATTTCTACATATTGCAAAATTTTATTACGTTAATATTTCATGTGTGAAAATATTGTAAATGTGTTCTTTTGTAAACGTGCAAATGACCCAGTTATTGGCCACCCTGTTCCAGTTATTTTAACCATATGTGTTAGTGATTGGCCATCATTTTTTAAAAAGATATTTTACCAAATAATTCGTAAGTTAAAATAGATAGATAGGTAGGTGTTTGGGTAAGCAAGGATTTTGTGATGAGTGTGGACACAGAAAAAAACACATGTTAAAGTAAACTTTAATTTTTGTAAAAAGAAAAAAACAGTCAAGATTTGAATTTGGTTTCGAAAATTAGTTTACGCATTCTGTAATTTTTATTTTGGCAAGATTCGCAAATATATACTTTTTCTGTGTCGCCGTAGAATCTTGTTATGCAAGTTACATGATATGTTCTAGGACACATTTGGCCTTTAATGCCTTCTTTACACTCTGTAATATTTAGTACACATAGATAACACACACCTTTAAAAACCTTTTGGCTTTTAAAATGTGATGGAATGTTTGATATCAAGTTTTTATTTTTAAAACGCGGAAGAACGTTTGATACCAAGTTTCGATTTTCAAAGTGTGAAGGAATATTTGATAATAATTTATCAGACCGAATTGTAATTTTTGTTGAGGACTGATCTGTATTATCATCAAATAATTTCCGTTTGGATACAATTTTTGTCTCAGGTCTTGAAGATTTAGTGTGGGCGAGAAATATTTTCGCAGATAATCTTAAATTCGCTTCTTGGGTAGGTGAATGCTTGAAAATGTCAATATTATCTTGGTTATTTACAGAGCTTGATGATTTTGTATGAGAATGATATTCTGGTGTAGAAACTTTGACAAAGTCAGGTAGTGGTGGCTTAAAAACCTCAATATTGTTACTTCTACTTTTCTGGTTTAGAGGAAAAAACACTTACAATATTTTTTGTCTTTTTTTGATATTTTTTAATAGGAATGTGACTTTTTACACGTGAATACACGGTTTTTTAAGTGTTTCTCTGTACCCTTTTACGCTCCTTTTCTAAATTTTTATTCCATTTTTTCTTTTTCTATTTTTCTTCTATCTGATGAAGTTAGAACAAATGGAAGCTTTTGAGCTTGCTTCTTTCCTTTTCGTACTGGAATAATTGGTCATATTACGTAAGTCGCAATAGATTTATTTATAGCATTTACAGATATATTTTCAGAAATATTTAGGGATTTCTCGGGTTTTTTTACCTTCTTTAACCGTTCTCGACAAACTTGATTCAGCTTGATTTGCATATTCTTCTATTCCTTGCATGTTAAAAATTTCATTCTCAGGTACCATCAAGGTGTCGTTCTCGATTTCAGGAATGTTTACAATTTCAGTATCATCTATTATTAACGGTATATCATTTATATCGAAAATTACTTCACTTGTGTCTAAAAATGTTACTTTTTCGTAACATTTATATATATATATATATATATATATATATATATATATATATATATATATATATATATATATATATATATATATATATATATATATATATATATATATATTGTTATGATATGTAAAATCAAGAAAAATATTGGTTTGCTTAAAATATTTCAAAGTTCAAAAACATTAAAATAATTCAGATAAGTCAAACAATTAACTACAAACATTTCGAAGAATGAAAGTCTTTTAATTTTGGATAACCTGTATTTAACAAAACGTAAGATATGCATAAATTATTTTCTTTGTTAAAATATATTTGTATGACGTGAATAAGCTTAAGTGAAATAAAAGACAATTGAACCAGGTTTTCCAAATACATTAATGCAGTGATTAGGACAATAGGATAGATTTTAGAAAGATAGGTCTTTGTTAGTTTTTAAGAATTGTAGAAAAATATTATTTGTAAAACAAGTTTTAGGAAATTTTATTATTATAGGTAAAAATTTGTTTGTTATCGAAATTAAGAAATGGGAGATGAATGACGCGTTTTGATTGGATGAAATTGGAAAAGGTGGGATGATTGGTTGGAGAATGAGACGTGAGCTAGTTTCGCAAGAAAGAAAAGATAGTCAGTTGGTTTCCAAGGGTGCACGGCGAACGGCCGTTGTTCTCGGGTAGTTTCCCAGAGGTAGGAAGCAGTAGCAGTGAAAGTTTGTGAGTTTTCGTGTAGTTAGTGTATCTGACAGAAGCTGATCCAGTAAAAGATTGTAAGTTATACTTTCTACTTATATTCCAAGAGTCACTGTTCAGGCCAACGAGAGATTCAGTTTATCGTAAAGAAAAGATTTTCCAAGAGTCATTTTTCACTCAGGCCAACGAGAGATTCAGTTTATTGAGAGAAGAAGAAGCTAGCATAATTTGAACGATTCGTGCATTTGAAGGAGATCATTAAGGACGATAAACTTGCAATAATTTGTTGTAAGATTGCTGATTACCTAGGGAGCGGCTACGAGTAAATAGTATAGTCTACAAGGAACAAGGATTTGGACCACTTATCATCAGAGAGAGATAGTTTTGTTTTCTGCAGTTTTTCTTTTATTCATAACACAAATTTTTTCACTTAATTTAGAAAGGATATAAATATTTTGATTAGGAGATTTAGAATAATATTTGGATTTTGAGATTTCAACTAATATTGTTTGTACCATTAATTTTAAAGGTTCACGTACGTAGAACAAAATTTTAAGAATCATTATATAAGATATTGTTTATTGAAAACATTTGAGTGTGAATTTTATTTCATTATTTTTATTTCAATATATAATGTTAGATCCTATATGTTTTTCATTATTCCGGTATTCTTTGGACCTTACCTTTCACATGTAATAGCATAGATATTGAAGCACGAATTTAACCCTGAGATAAGAGAATTAAAATGTGTGATAGAGTCATAATCATATCATTTAAATAAATTTTAATTAATTAATTAATTGATTAGCTAATTAATTACTTGGCGCACCAAGACTTCAAATATCACAATAATATATATATATATATATATATATATATATATATATATATATATATATATATATATATATATATATATATATATAAAACTGTTTTGGATGGGTTGGAATCAATAAAAGGGGCTATTTGTTGATTATTTTTTACTCGAGCTTTCAATTGTG